TTGAACGATGTCACTGAACTAGAAGGTCGCATAGGACGATGTCTTCAACTTCTCTTACAACTGCACATGATCGATGACATGACGTACAAATCCCTTAAACCGTGTGGGTCGTCGACACCTCAGCTCTACGGCCTCCCTAAACACACAAGTCTGGAATGCCGCTTAAGCCTATCTTGGCGATGACAAATTATCCATTGATACGCTGGTTAGTCACCATCCTAACCCATTAAAGACAAAAGTTTCACGCATATTCTATTGAAGATTCTTTCGAATTGATCGGTGACTTGGAACAACATCAATCTTGCTAATGAGTTAATGTGTTCTATAGGCGTTGATTTACGAAAGTCCCGCTACATGAGAAAAGTGACTGTATTTGTGAGCTCGTTGTAACGAACCACATTACTTTGTTTCTGCCTAACTGATATTCTGATAAAAGTTTACAGTTGTGTACTAAAAATATCAGATCCCGTTTTCTTGGTAGTTTCTATCACCAGCTAGAATAGGGTAGCCTTAAGACGTCCAACAGCGCCCATCCTAGCAGACTCATATTAAGGATTGAGCGAGAGTTAGCCGCAGACATAGCGAGTCTGTCATATTACAAACGCTACGTTGATGATACACTAGTATTCAGTCGGTCCAAACAGGCAATAGATAACCTAGTGCAGCGCCTAAATAGTTGTCATCCCAATCTGAAGGTAACGTGTGAATTTGAGACTGATAATTGTTTGCCGTTTCTAGACATACTCATAAGTCGCCCAAAAAGATGGCTCTATTAAAAGAGGTGTTTATAGGAAATCCACGTGGTCCGGTCAATACCTCAACTTTAGTAGTTTCACACCGGTCCATCAGAAGCGCGCACTAGTGAATACACTATTCACACGAGCAAGACGAATCTGTACACAGGATAGTCTTGTGAGGGAATTAGACTTGATCACATCTGTGCAACCTAATGGTTATCCAAAAAGGTTCATAGAAAGACACAGTAGGCCTAAACCGCCATCCGAACAGGTGGTCACTGTAAGAAAGAAGGTTTATATAGAATTGCCTTTTAAAGGTGATTACAATATGCATCAAACAACGCAACAGACCATTGAATTCGATTAAACGAACATTTAACGCAGCGGACCCAGGAGCTGCTTGCCCCTTCAATCAAGCGAGACCGGTCTGTGAGTGTTATATCACACTGCGTCTATTAATGTATATGTAAATGTAAAGAAAGTTACATAGGCAGAATTAAGAGGATGTTTGATTTCCAGAGTGAAGGAACATTTGCCTAAATGGGTGCAGAACTCAGTATTACCGAAGAACGGCAATGTCGTTGAAACACGCAAGCAACCAGTGTCCGCAGTCGCAAGACACGTCCTGACCACCGGTCACGTTATCGACCCAATGATTGTACGCACGTGATAATTAGCAGAATGGTAGATATACCACAAATTGTAGACAAGAAACCTGTCTATATTACGTTGCCTTTCAAAGGCGATAGCAATGCTGAAAATATAACCAGGAGACTTAACGTAACACTTAACAAAACCTATTTCGCGGCTCAATTACGTGTACGATTTACCTCCACACCAGTATTGCGCTCCCAGTTGAAAGATATATTGCCTGTTCATGCCGCCTCTTTTTGTGTTTACCGTTTCGTTTGTTCCTGTGGAACAAGCTACATAGGCCGCACAACACGGCGATTATCCGAACGCATTCGGGAGCACCAACCGATGTGGCTGACGCGAGGATCGATAAGGCCCTGTTCGTCTGCGATCGCTACGCATTTGATCGAGTCAAACCACCTGATTCAATCGGACAGATTCATTCAAGCCAATCTACCGAATCTGTGGAAAGAAATCGAACTGGATCAACGGTCGTTTGCTGGCCATCTTGGAAGCTTTCTCAATCTGTTTACACTCACCCCCGTTATGCTCACAAAAACGTCTGGTCAAAACACTGAACCTCCCGTGGCCATGTATCAATAGCCCGGATCGATCTGTTACGTAGGAGTACCGATTTTCCAAAAACGTTTACAACCCAAGTTATTGGTTTCACATAATTAGACCACACGAGTTTGACTGACTTGACATTAATCCTTACCACATCTCACCCTACTGATGTACTACCCCCGGCGAACCCATATAAATTATTATGATTCGTCTGAAACGCGTTTTCTTCTCATGTTTAAAAAAAATCGTTCAACAATGAAGACGAGGGTCAAAGTTCAAAGCTTGACTGTGGCAGGTGTGCAACACTGATGAGCTCTGAAAATAAATAAATCCCATTCTGGTCAATCTTTTCTAAAGGGGCTGGCCGAGTAGTCTAGTTGAATGTGGAAGCTGCGGTCACGTGTATGGTCTACTGAAGTTATGTCAATCAGGGTCTTCAATACATACCAGTAATGTATCGTGTTACGGGATATATCATTTGAAAAGTTGGCGAGATTGTTATAGCCGATTGGAACCGAAAAGTTGTGCCATAAATGTTCTTACAGGTTACGGAAGTGTGCATCATTATGATAGGAAGTTTGGGGACAGCATGGAAGCAGTTCAGATGAGCATCAGTCTCCTGGGTTTCTCTTGATAACGAGTTTGTAACAAGATGACATTATGTTAAGTTCAGAGCACATTCCTCGTATGCGTCATTCGTCTGATAGTGAGCAACTGGAACGACACTGATTTTCGATGTTAATGGTCAACCAACTCGGGTCTCAACAAGAATCACATTCTCCTTATGATGACTTGTTTTGTGTGACGTTTGTCTAGTCCCGCTTTCGGTCGGGTCAGATGAAATTTGCTTTGGCGCTCAGCAGAACAAACAATCAGTTTGTTTGCGTGTTTGCGCGCCCACTTTTGATCACCAACCTTTGCCATCACGATGTCAGCAACAAATGCACGCAAAAGTAACCATTTGGCAACCGTTTCAAAGTAGAATGACCAACTCTTAGGACCGACGTGTGACACGGTTGTTAAGCTATTACGACACACACGGACTAATGGACATCCCAGAATGACTACTGTCTTAATGCGCCAGCAACCAAGTGCACTTTGCAGAGAAGGAAACGAGGTGCGGTAGGCGAAATAGCCAGACAGTGACGCGACAATCGTGAATGTGATGTAATTAACCGCAAACCTGTTTTCGGTCACAGTTAGGTAGCGAATTCCTGAGCGAACGCAAACATTCACCCACGATTTAGAATGCGTGCTGTAGATATCAAGAGCCAAACAGTGGCGACAGAAACGTACATTTGGTGTTGTAGAAGGGTTTGGATACATCTCATTTGGCACATACCCGTACACACACACCAATTACAAGATTAGAAGGTAGACAAAGCAGGTGGAGACTGAAAAGTTCGGTACACTCGTTACTTGCAGCTCAGTATCTAAGCCGCTTGGGAAATAGACTAATCGTAAAGTTTGATTAGTCTGGACTACAGCACAATGCACTGTGTTTCATTACAACGGAAAGACAGCGGAACGGGTAGTTGAAATTTCGATGTGGCCAATGCACAGAAAATTGGATAACTTCAAGTCGGATAAAATAATGTGTGAATTACACACTTGGGGGTTAACCATACGAACAACATCAAACAAATCAATGATTTCAATGCATCATTCCCACAATCGTAACCAGCATCACCTGGTAACTTAAGTGGACCGAAGCCAGCTGACCATAGAAAGCGATCCTTATGGACAAATAGGTCGGCAACCCGTAACAACTGAATTCACACAAGAATAAAACCGATCCACTTGATATATCAATTATACTTCATTTACTAGGCACAAACTCTTAACTGTTCAGGCTTTTTCGTGTTCAGAGCCTAATAGGTCGTGATGTAACGCAACGAGTGAATGAAGTAAGGACAAACGTAATTGATTATTTGTCTTTTGTTTTGAACAGATGCTGAATGATCGTCATCCAGGATCGGCGGCTTTTTAGTCAAGAAAATGATATTGTGTTTTTATGTATCAAATTCAATCCTTAGGACTTATAAGAAAATGGAACAGTGGTCAGGACTTTGCTATCAGGCGCACATCTGGCATTGCCAAATGCCAGTGTTTATTGAGAAAAAAATGCATTAAAACTCATACATGTGTTGACTATATTCACCTCCCAGAACCTGATTCAACCTAGTCTGTTACCCGTCATCGTTCATATAATACAATCTGACTATAGCTCAAAGTTTGAGATATTGGGTACTCTTGATTCGGTTCATCAAGACGACAAGGAGACATACATTGCGAGATGCAGATGTTTCGTTTGTTTTCGTCAGTCGATTACATTAAAAACATTCACTTATGTAGAGTTTGGGTATGGCGACGTAACAGTGAAACGGACGAACGTCAAGTGGATGCATATCGGGGAGGGGGGACAGACGGTTTTAGCACACGGCAATGAGCATGATGGCGTCAGCAACTTCTGCGAGCAGCAAGCTGATGTACAACGCTTGATTATCAACGGTTCAGAAAACGCCAACATTTTGAGGTTGTGGTTATCAAACACATTACCTGGTGCGATTAGAAGCTTTGTGATCAAAGACGTTGAATTTCTGTTCGGGTGTTTGCATGCTGACACACGTTGAGTTATTGCCTCCGCTAGCCATTTAAAGATATGCTTCGCCTTTTTTCTGTTGCAAGTTTCAGCTCGTTCTGCCGGTGTATACGTCATTGCAATTACAAGTGAACTGGCGGACGTTGTGACAGAAAGAGCGATCAAGGTAGTAGAGAATAATTCCGCGAGTAGAAGGCAACAAATGCAATTCCACCGCGGGACAAGTGCGACTAATGGCAGACAAACTTTCATTGAGGACAATGCTGAGCTACGAAGCCACACCAGAAGCTCGGAAATTTCGCATTCTAGGCTCAACAGTGGCGTTGGTAGATTCCAACGTGAACTGTTCAAGAAATCCTGTCGGGCAGTCGATTCTCTGGATCATTTGGTGGATTCCATATGAGACAGTGGAGACGGGTGGGTAACCGAGTCCAAACATGAAATTTCCGAGCTTCTGGCGTGGCTTCGTAGCTCAGCTGGTAGACGGCTTCCTGCGTTGAGGCGTGGTGCTTCTGTCGCTGGTTCAAATCCAGCCGAAGCCGTGACTTTTCACAATTGGGGCTCATCTAAAATCATAAGTCTGCCAAAGTACTTACTAGTAAACCATGGTTTGTTGTTATGGCACCACAGTGAGATTTGTTTTAATGCTGATTTCTCCTTGTGTGTATGCATGAATATTTTTGCGTGTTGAGCAATTATAGTGATATCCATCTCAAACTGG